ATCATCATGTCGTGAACAGACTGATCCATGACAGGAATGATTTCCTGGGGATACGCCTGGATTTGATGCCACAGCTTGCGTGTCGGGGGGTAGAGGTTGAGATCAGATATATCGAGATACAGTCTGGTTGTGCCGAGAAGCAGCATGTTCTCTAATGCTTCCCAGTACGGTTTAGACTCGGCACCGGGAAACTCTTTCACATCTGCATCGGAGAAACCGTCTCGGTACATTCTGTACTTTTGGGTAAAGTTGCGCAGGAAGTCCTTGAATGCAGCAAAACTATCGTCTATGGAGACCGTGGTACCCCAAATAAGGCTCTGGCTTTGGCCACCCAGATGGTCAGCCTCGGACGTATTTGGATCTCGGTTGGCGAACGACGCGGCGTCCGAGCCAGGAGTTTGTCCTTCTTGAACGACTCGGCCGGTATCATCCAAAATGATGCGGCGCGCGGCACGAGGCGTGCGCATAGCATCTGAGTTGATGTCACCACGTCGATAGGCAGCGGAAGAACTGCCGCGATCTGAGCCGACAAACAGACCGCTACTTTCACTGCGCAGCTCTGAGCGCTGCCCGTGGGATCTACCAGGACTGGAGCTGGGTTCGTAGCGGATTGGCGACGATTCTAGACAGGCGCAAGGATCAGCGGTTGCTCGTCCGTGCCGTCTCGTCCGCGCCACGATGGCAAATCCGTCGCGATTATCATCAGTCTACCATCATGACTTACCTCCTGCAAAAAGACCGCTTGCCCTGGGCGTCCTTTGGGGGTCATCCTGCAGCGACTGCGTGTCGGACATCTGTCGCAGCGGAGAACTTGGCGTAGCAGCATGACCATCTGTGGACTGGGAATTTGTCATGTGTCTCAAGGGAGAAGAGACGATTCCGTCGATGCCATCTTCTTGATCATTGCCAGCGGGCGGCGGCGAGGACTGGAAGAACAACGGGCTCGAGGCAAGCTGTGAGGGTGGTGGGTTGCGAGGGGTGTTTGCCTCGGACTGGTGGCGGGCGGATCGACGAGGCGTGCCGGCCTGCGAGCTACGCTGTCGACGATTCGAGGGCGACGACATGATGAGGTTTTGTTTGCTTTGTGATCAGCCTGGGCTGGAAATGGCAGCACATGTGTCGGAACAGAGGCCAGATGCTGAAGAATGGGCAGATGTGTGTGTGTGTGTGTGTGTGTGTGTGTATGTGGTTTGTAGTATGTGGTATGTGCACACACACATGTGCCGTCAGTCACGTCCAAGCAGGGGGTTTGAGTGTGAAGACGAGATGGGGAAGCGCGTCACGCGTTAATTGGGTTTTCAGGAAAACGCGATATTCAAGCCACGGTACCACTTTGCGGCTGGGGCGTTCCCGCGCGCTCCGGAACCCGGCCAAAGTGTTCAGCCGCAAGCATGGACAGCACCCACCTGGCCGGAAATCCTCCTCTGCTCTCCACTCTGGCTGGGGCCCGTCAGTGGACGGACAAACAGCTGGTCACTCCGAGCCAGGCCAGCTACACATTATCGGCAAACCATTGCAGCAACACCGCCCGCTCATCATGTCTCCTGGAATGACTCTTTTCTCGGTCCAGGCCGTCCTCATTCTCGGAACCGAGGACGGCGCCAGAATTCTGGCCAAATACTATTCCTCTCCTCATAGCGCGAGCGCAGGCGCAGGCGCAGGTAAAGTCCAACCACATCCCTACCCTCACCAACATTGTCGTTGCCTTGTCTTTGCCTCCCGCCCTTTGTTCCGAGGCGCGTGCAGGGCGAAGAGACTTCATGACTTGAAGACAAGCACTGGTATTCATTGGACTAAAACCTCGGCGGCGCAGCATCGACCAACCCATACGCCGACCTCAAAGCCCAGAAGGCCTTCGAAAAGGGACTCATCGAAAAGACAGCCAAGCAGAACGGCGATATCATCCTGTACGATAACCGGATCGTCCTGTACAAGCTCGAGTCAGACATCATGATCTACGTGGTTGGCAGCCTGGACGAGAACGAAATCCTGTTATATAACGCAGTTCTTGCCATTCGCGACTCACTACACCTTGCCTTCAAGTATGATGCTCTGCTATACCTGGTTCCCCCATCATTCCCCAATATATATATATATATATATATACATATATACATATATACAAAATGGAACAAGAAAATAAAAAGAGTCGGGAAGCAAAGAGCAAAAAGAAGGATGGGAAAAGGAAACCCCCACCCCCAAACCCCTATACATGCCACCAAGTGCCGAACTAACCCACCTTGTGCCACCAGACAATCCATCGACAAGCGCACCATTATCGAAAATTACGACCTCGTTTCTCTCGCCATTGACGAGATCGTCGACGACGGCATCATCCTCGAAACCGACCCGACCATTATTGTTCAGCGCGTCAGCAAGGCACCGACGCAGGACGTCCCAATCGGTCGCATCGACCTCAGCGAACAGGGCGTCAACAACCTCGCCCAGTTGGGCAAATCAAAGTTGGCAGACTGGTTACGGCAGGGCCTGTAAGGGCGGGGTGCTTTTAGGGGGTAGAGATGGTCTGTGTTGGAAAAGGAAAAAGAGACGTGATGATCAGCCACAGAGGGAACCAAAACAAAAACAAAATCAAGGACAGCTACCTAATGGAGTGAAGCGGCTTTGTCACTGCTGCGTATTTTAATGTATGTGGCAGAAAATAGCAAGACGCCAGGCTTTCAAAATGGGGGTGTTTTTTTTTTTTAAAAAAAAAAAAAAAAAAAAAAGGCGCCGCATGAGTCAACGTTAGAGTCCATATCTTTAACACTTGGGGTTCGTGGATCAAAACTCAAAGAGGATGTGAGACCAATGGATTATGCAATGATAGAGGAGAGAAAGAGGCAAGATCAATCAAGTTGTAAACTTTTTTGCGTAATATATCGTTTTGGTTCTATATTTTTTTTTGTTCTTTTTTTTTTTTTGCCTTCCTCCCAACTTGGTACCGGACCTCTTTCCTCTCTATGCTCTAATATCAGACGCCGCCTTGCGAAGGCGATTCATGACCGCCGCTGCAATGTCTACATCGTCGTCAATGCCTTCTACGAAAATCACATCCACGCCCCGTCTATCCAGCTCCCGCAGAGCAGAGAACAAGCCCTGCGCTATGCCCTGCGCGTCCTGGCCCAGACTGATGTCGTATACCTTGCCCACAATCTTGTCCTCCCGGTCTGTCAAGGGACCCCCATATAACTCGTACGAAGACGACTCGCCATCACCACCACCACTAGCATGCTCGTCCTCGTCAGCCCGTCCAGCAAGACGGCGCAGGTTGGCGCAATGCAGACCAGCCGCCGCGGGCCACCTCTTTGTCCGAATAACACCCACCGTGGACGTGACCGAGCTGGCCCCATTCGTCGTCGTCTTGGCCGATTGCGCATCGCGCCCATTGGTAAGTGGTGGTGATGATGACGATGATGATGTGGTTGTCGTCAAAGCCGTATGCGCATCCGCCGCAATGATTCCCCCCTCGCCAGCCGCGTAGGCTGCTTCGTAGAGCACAACCCGCGCCCTGGGGCTGTAGTGCTTGTACTTCATGCCCGGTGCTCGGGGCGCGGCTTTGCCCTCCTCGCTCTGGTCTTGATAGGCCTTGACGACGCCCTCCCAGCCGGGACAGGTGCGGATGTCGTCGATGCCTATGCCTCCCGGTCGCAGAATGGCGGGCGGCCGACACAGCCCGTCGACGACTGTGCTTTCCACGCCGACGGCACAGGATCCCCCGTCAAGAATCCATTCTATCCTGCCGTCCAGGTCGTCCTTGACGTGCTGGGCCGTCGTGGGTGATGGTTTCGTGGAGGCGTTCGCCGAGGGAGCCGCTAGGGGCACGCGGGCGAGTTTGATGAGCGTCAGGGCCAGCGGCGATGAGGGCATCCGCACGCCAAAGGTGCCCAGGCCGGCAGTCACTTCGGGGGCCAGCGGAGACGGATCCGGGCTCGGTAGCAGGATGGTCAGAGGACCGGGCCAAAACTTGTCCAGCAGCGGCTTGTACAGAGCGGGTATGACGACGTGGTTGTCGTTGCCGCGCTTGTCATCGCCGTCCTGGGCGCCTTGCAGCAGCGACCGCAGCATGTGCAAGTCGCACACGTGAACGATGAGCGGATTGTCCGATGGCCGCCCCTTGGCCGAGTAGATTCCCCTGACTGATTCGCTCCGTGTGGCATCTGCGCCGAGACCGTAGACCGTCTCTGTAGGGAAAGCAACGGGCGTGTCCCTGGTTCGGAGATAGTCCGCTGCAGTTTGCAACGCCGCCACAGCATCCTTGGCCTCTGGTCTGATGTGCCAGTGGTCTAGTCGGTCCAGAGAGAGCTTCTCGGTGTCGAAATGACCCAACGATGGCCCCCGGGGTATCGATACTATCCGGGTTTCCATGGCGGGCAACCTCGGCGGCGTACGACGAGCCGGGCTGGTGAGGGTTCGGGCTGATGCCGATACAAGTCGAGGTGTCGTCCCTCGGGCCGTTTTGACAGATGAGTTTTGACTCTGCAGATTGCGTGACTTGTGACTCTGCAGACTGCGTGAGCAGTGAAGGGTATCAAAGTCTTGAGGGGGCGTGCAAAGTTCAGACAAAGAAGAGGGGAAAAGCCGGTCTGGCGTAGCTTGCGCGAATCTATCTCGCCAGCCAAGTATCAGGTCGAAAGATTTGGTAATTATTCTTCAAGGTCGAAGAAATGAAGTTGCCGACTTCCAAGTTACTTTTTCTTATTCTCTTTTTTCTGGGGACCCTCCGATGCGCGCAGTTTGAAATCGTTCTTGTTCTGAACTTCTGCCTCACGAGCAGGGCCACCCACAATTTTCCCAAGGCCCTGTCATGAGTCACGCAGGCTTTCGTCGCGCATGACAAGAACAATACTCCATGGAACTTGTCTCAAAATTCTCAATTTTTAAAACGATAAAAAAAGCATGTTCGTAAATAAATGAAATAAATAGTGTTTTGTTGATGGATGATGTCTGTCTGTCTCGTGCGAAAATATCGCATGCGACAGTCAATCAGACCCGCAAAAATATGGACTCGCCGGGAATTGAACCCGGGACCATTCATAGGCAACTATTACTGATAGATCAGACGATCTTTCACAGGTGCGAAACGAAGATCATACCCCTAGACCACAAGCCCATATCTCCTGAATCAGGAGCTGTTGTTGAAAGGGGTGCAGCTTTTATGGTATATAGACTGAACTTCCATTCTGCCAGTGTACCCCTTCATGCGCAATTTGTTATTTCTATTCCTACCTGTTTTCCCTTGTGTTCATGAACTGTATATTTCGTATGCTATCATTATTTTTAATGTCTTGCGGGACGTCGTGCCCGCCTCTATTCTGCCCTGCAGCGACGATGACGATTCTATTGTTGTCGAAAACCATATGCCAATCCTGGTTTCGGCACGCACCCTATACCAATTCTAGTTCTGGGAAATCCGCCACTTGCAGCCAGCTCTGGACTTTCCTTTTTCTCTCTCTCTCTCTCTCTTTTTTTTTTAAAAAAAAAAAAGAAAAAAAAAATATCGACATGACGACTTAGACTTGTGAAATATGCAGAATGTGGTATTTGCACCGTGGAAATACGTTCCTGCTCGGCGTGGTTGTGTCAAACCTATCTCTTTCACGACCACTCCACCAATGCAAGACGGACACGCACACAGCATAAAGTTGATACCAGAATGAAGCCATGTTTGGTTTTCCACGCGCAATGCAACCAGGGATCATTTGTGGCGCAAGCTCGCCTCCGCTCAAGCAAACTCAAAAAAAAGCATGAAATTTAATTCCGATGCAATTCCACGACATCACTCAAAACGCGCACGTCTCCCAAACATCAGTCCCAGAATACAGACTATGCACATGGCAAGCATACGGAGTCCACGATGACTGATATTCGGTTCAATTTTTTTTTACACCCCTCTCTACTTTATTATATAAGCTGACCTGGTCACTTAGTCAAGTTTCCAATCATCCCCGCACAAGCGTTCTCGCCTTCCTCATTTCCTCCGTTGTCAGAACCCAGTCAATGCCGCCCTCATCGTCGTTCAAGAGCTCCTCCCACTCGTCATCCTCCATATTCGCCACCATGAGAAGCTGCGTCACCTTCACAAACGCCTCTCGAACGCTATAGTCCCCCTTTGACACGGTGTCCACGATACTCGTAAAGTCTCTCTCGATACGAACCACGCCAAACGGACTCGTCTTGCCGACATAGGTCAATATCTTCTTCTCCAGGATTCTCGACAAGTGCCGCGCCGTCAGATCTAGCAGAGCGCTGAACGTGCCCGGTGTCATGATTCGGGCGATGGGTCTCATCAGTTGGTCCCAACCGTGCTCGAACCGCCGGCGAACCTGGTCCAGAATTTGTCCCTCATCCTCGTCATTTTGCTGCGCCAATTCACTCAGTTCCTCTTCGAGAAGGGCGTAATCCGCATCGCGAAAGGTGTCGCTGATGACGGGCCGTAGGCGAAGCTTGACGACTTGCGTGAAGAGAACTTGTATGCCCTCATTCAGTAGTTCGGTGGAACTGGCGACGAAGCCCGTTTCGAGAGCGTGCAACGACTTGGCGACAAAAGCCACGTCCTTTTCAAAGGGGAAGTACTCCCTCAAAGCCCCCTGCAATGTCACCACGTTGTCTGCCCCTTGGCCCCCCACGACGGTGACGCGACTGCCGATAATTCTGCTCAGGTACTCATTTGACTTGTCCAGGCTGTTAATAAGCACCATGAACTGTATGATCTTGTCCGCTGGAGCCAAGCCTTCATGTATGGCGGGCTTCGGATACGACTCATCCCGCATCTTGCGTTGAATCATGCCAATAAAGTCCGAGCTCAGGACTCGGCCCACCGTAGGCAGTACGGACGAAATAACGTCCCGCTGTGATGTCGATAAGGATTTTTGAACCACATTGTCAACAATATACATGACATCATCCACGGCTGTGATTATGAACGGCGTACTTCCTTCAACAGACTTGTTTAAGCTGAGAGATAGTCCGGCAGGATACTCGTCCAACTGGAAAGCCTTTTCCACCGATCTGCGGAAGAAGAAGGTTGTCATGACGTTGTAGGGAGTTGTCAGTTTCGCCGAAACCTTGCGATAGAGATTTGACTTTACCAGCAATTCTGGGAGAACTAGAGAAGAGTCTTCACCATTTGAAACCTATGCAATTTTAGTAACAGCAAAAAAACAAAAAAACAAAAAACAAAAACAAAAACAAAAACAAAGAAGAGATGATTTTTTTATTTAAAAAAAAAACCCCCCCCAAGATCCGAGGCTCCATTTAGCTTGACAAAACACCATCTGTGCGGAGAGGACTTACCATGCATTTTCCTGACAGGAACCGGGTATATAACGACCATCGGCCGAGCATGATGGCAATCTCACTAAGCAGCCCATCCACCTCCTTCATGTTGACGCCTTCGTCCTCGCTTGGTCGCGGGTTGTTGCCCCCAACAGAGGGGGAGTTGATTCGAGGCGTACCACTCCGGGGAGCCTGTGATAGAACGCTCTGTACTAAAAACGAAAAGGGATAACTTTTCACGTCGGTGATCGTCCTGTCCACACCTCGTTCGTCGCTCCACGTGTCGAGGATAATGCCCCCCTGGACGTCGGCCTCCATCTGCAACCGCTCAATGACCCTGACCATCTTGCCGACCCCGTAGTGCCGTTCTACGAGGCCGCCGTGAGACTCGACAATCTGCGCAATGTGCTCAAACAACTTTGTCAACGCATTGGCGTAAAAGTAGCCGTCTCTTCTGTTCGGCCCGCCCACATTGTCCTTTAACGTAGCGCGGGCGGTCCCAGCGACTCCCTGGCAGACGTAGCGCCCGTACACGTCCAAACCGACATCTGCCCGCCCAATCATGGGGAACAGCTTGAAGAATCGCGTCACCTTGGTACCGTCGCCATCGCCGGCGGCCTTTTCAAACTCCCGCAAGAAGAGGCCGCACAGAGACTCTCTGGAGCTTTCCAGAGTCACCCACGGGGGGTCTGGAACTTCCGCACTCGGCACTATACTGGCTGCGAAGGCGCCCCGGGCAACCTCTTCGGGAATCTTGCTTGCTCGAGATAGATATCCCGCCGCGGCCTCCCAGTCCTGCGGGGCGCCCATGGAGCCAACGACTCCGTTCACACAAGCCTTGAGCTCGGCCACCTGCTCCACGACGCCGAGGGTATCTTCCACGTGGCTCTTCTCCAGATCAAGCTCCTTGACCCTATTGCTGAGTCTGCCGGCAGTCTCTGCCGCAGAAGAAAGCATGTCATTGTTGATGGATCGCGCCGCAATGGCTTGTGCTCCGAGCCCGGCTCGTAGTAGATCCAGTCGGCCGAGATCTCGCGTCAAGTCGGGCTGCGAGGCAAGCAGCGAATCGAAACGAGCCGTGATTGCGGATTCCCGCTCGTGCAACGCCAGCAACGCAGTTCGCAGCTCGGCCACATTGGTGACGCTGCTGAGAGGCGATGACGCAGCTGTCGACGACTTTGGGCGCTTGCCATCGCGTAGGCTAGGGCGATGGGCCGCTCCGTTTGTGAGGGCTGACATTGGCGACGAGAAGGTGTGGCCGGGAGGCGCGCATAGCTCCCGAACGATCTTGTCGACAATGTTGCCGGAAAGAAAGCCCAGAGCTTGACGATGTGGTGCTGTTGTTGCTGTGTAAGGGCGATGAGGATGAGGACCATGGGAAGTGGGCTGCGCTGGCCGGAACTCCCTGCCACGCCAAGTCGCAACAAAGTCGTGGGGCCACCATATCTGTCCACATTGAACGACGTGTCGACCTTTTTCTTGCCTATTTCCTTGCCTCCTTGTTTTGTGCTACTGTTCGACATTTTCTTGCTGCAAGGAAGAAAAATATTGAAAAATAACTGTATCTACTGTGTCCCGCAACTCCATGGCACTGTTGACGATTGAGGCCACAGTATCTATCGTACGCCAACCGACCCCGATTGCTGCTATTGCTATGCTATCTTGATGCTTTTATTTTTGTGTAATACCTTGAAGCTTCGACCCATGCGCGACACCACCGCCGTCAGACCCATAATTTCTCCAGAAAAAGAACAAAAAAAGGGGGACGTCTTTCTATAAGGAAAAAAAAAAAATAGATACAAAAAAAAGTTTATAATCAAACAGCCTGACTATACCCGCTGCTTAAACGCCTCCTTCCGTACTTCAAATACTTGCGTATCTCGTCTGCCCAAAACACCGAACTGCAGAGGACCACCAACCTGAAAAGGTCTCCAAATCCAATAGCTTCTGTCTGGAACACTTCCTGAAGCCAAGGCATGTAGATGACCAATAACTGGCAAATGACGCTGAGCGATACCGCCCAATTGAATAGATTGTTTGCAAAAAGTCCGATTTCTCCTCGAAAGATCGACTTGGACTCTGACCGACAACTCAGGGCGTTGAACATGTCGAAGAAAACAAAGCAAGTAAATGTCATGGTTGTGTCGCGTCTCGTCACCTGCCCGTCCGCCATCATTTCATGTCTGTAGATGAGCATCGTGCCTATCATGATGATGGCGGCGGATGTCAAAACACGCGTCAGAACCGCCTTGGTGAGTACTGCATCATTGCGTCGCCTCGGCGGTCGGTTCATCACATCTGGATCGACCTTTTCCACGCCGAGTGATTGCGCTGGGGGACCGTCCATGATTATATCTGCACAAGCGGTTAGCAATGGTTGTCCTCGATCACGCGACAATCTATACCACGAAACATACTGATCCAGAGAATCTGCATCGCATTCAGCGGTGTTTTGAATCCGAAAAAGGTGCACAGGAGAACAAGCGATAAGCTGGCAGCGCTTGTACTCAGCTGAAATGTAAGAAAGTTTTGAATGTTGTTAAAAATGCCTTTGCCTTCCTCAATCGCGCGCAGGATGGTGGAGAAATCATCGTCAGTCAAAATCATATCTGCCGCTTCCTTGGCCACGTCTGTGCCGTGCCGGCCCATGGATATGCCGATATCAGCTCTTTTCAGTGCTGGAGCATCATTGACGCCATCTCCAGTCATGGCGACAATATCGCCACGAGATTGCAGAGCTCGAATGATCTTCATCTTGTGATCCGGATTCGTTCGCGCAAATATTGTCGTGTGTTGCATCGCCACGGCGAGGTCCTCTTCAGACATTGCGTCAAT